GTTGTTAGAATAATTGATTAATCGAAAAAATAATCGTTAGATCAATCGATTAGAAAATAGTCGTTTGGTACAGCACTAATTTTTTCATATGGCAGGGTTAGAAATAAATCGCAATGTCATATTTTTCAAATACTGTGAAGCCCTAATCAGGTCTGTTTCAAGGGGCTATATCAGTAAAATCAACTTTTTTTGAGTTTTATATCATGTTATAATGTTATCCTCTCATCAAAAATATGCCCAGAGTCTTATTTTGACTCATTCATGCATGTTTGAGAAATCCTGTTGTGTCCTGAGGCAGCAGGCAGGGAGCAAAAACAACCGGTAGGGACTAGAACCTCCTTTTGGGACTAACTCCGCCTCTGGGCTGTGCCTCCAAGCCGAGCTTCCTCATCACAGAGAACACACCCCCGCACCCCGCCCTTGACTCCTGCAGGCTCTCAGCAGCAACAATGCAAACAACTGGTGAAATTGAAACTATCTGCTGAGCTCCCAATACTACTTCTGAGTGAAGCCCTTTTTAAATTCAAAATACCTTTGAGGAAATGTATTTTCAGATGCAAAGTAAACTACACTTAGCTTCCATATCACAGTGCACCTCCCCCCACGTGTTGAAATGGGTGGGACAGAAGTGGAAGGAAGTTCTTAAAGAGACAGAGGCCAATTTCAAGATGTTTAGAAATGGAAATGATGAGAAGATGAGGTTATTTTCTATTCAAACATAAAAACAGCATTTTAATAACAACTAAAGGTGACATAGATACTTTATTATGGTATAGTATTTAAATATATGCCTGAGAAACRCATAATATTGCTCCTTTAAGCGTTTCTGTAACATTTCCAACAATTGTATCTCTTTGTTTTGTTCAGCTGTTCAGAAGACTGTAGAAACTAGCCAAACTACAGAATCTACCCTCCTCCTCTTTAAMCACGAGCTTCTTGCACAGCTTGTTACAAGGTATAAAAAGTGGGAACTGCATAACCAGGCAAAACTACAATAAAGTGTAATAAGACAGGTYCTCTGATGTCAATTTTGCTAATTTTTCTCCCCAAAAATATAATTTGCTGTCATATAAAGTAACTCATTTCTTTGCAGTACACTGTTAAAAATGTTACATGTTATTTCCTGATATTGCTTTATTTATAGATTTACAGTAATGCATTATTTAGACATGCTTTCAAACTTCACTTCTGTAAATTCTTTTTTATATTTCTGAGAATCTGTGTGACCATTTTTTCCCCCTCATTTGAACTAATCAAAGCCATAAATCAGGTGAATTCTTTGTTTACTGTGTGGCAGGCAATAATGAAGTCTATTGTTGTTTCTGCCTCTCATTCTGACCAGCTGGCAAATGGGCTCCAAACAGCTTGAGGAACTGGCGAAAGCATTGTAATCGGAACATAAGCACATGGTGTGGGTAATGCTTTTGCTCTGCGGACGGCCTGATGTTTATAGAGTCTAGATCAAGCAGAAAAACTGTTTTGTTTTGTTTTTTTTTACCATCAGTTTGAACCCATGTATTTATCAGCTATGCTTTTCTGTCGGTCCTGTCAGGACTCACGGGGGTTATTGCTGCTCTTAATCTCAGTGGTACCACATAAAGCTGAAGGACCGTAACTAATGATTTGTTTGTTGAAACCAAACAGGTAGAAGTCAGGTGTTGCTGAGGTAAAAGCTGTTTATTGCTTGTTTTTCTTACAGTCAYGCTCAAACCACAAACTCCACATTATAGTGATAAGCAAGAGAAAACAAAAACATAATAGCTGCAGTCATTGTGACATATTGTCCATTCAAGCGTCTATTCACCGTATATACAAACAGCAGAGACTAAATGGCTCCACTGCAGTCAACACAAGGTAAAACATCTTTCTAGCAGTTTATATTTAAGTGCAGAAAGCTGCTGAGTAAAAACACTGCTGGAAACGTTTGCCGGACTGAAGCTGAGCAGCGTTTGTAATGAGATTTTGCAGGCAGTTGAAAACATTTGTTTTGCAGTGRCTGCAATCTCCAGTGATCCATAAAGAATTGATGAACTGTCACAACTGCAAATTAGTTATTGTTGTTCATCAAATTAAAACTAAAAATGTCAAAATCTCAAAGTTTCTCGGTTATAATAATTATAGGTCCTAAAAATGTTTGTTTTCCTTGAAAGTAACTGTAATGTCCATTTGGAGGCACATCAGCTCAAAGTCTGAAGTGACCACTTACTTGCATGTTTATCTGCGAGCTGGATGAGACTGTGAGAGATATCTCTCCTTCTGTAGAAACAAACCACTTTGGCCTCAACATTCCCACTGGCGGTCTGAAAGAAAGAAAGAAAGAAAAAATAGATCCACGTTTAGGTGAAGACGTGGCAACAACTCCCTGAAATTTCCCCAGAGAACCGGCTCCTTTGTGCACCCATCAGAACAGGTTGACGGTGACAAAGATTTCTGAAAAGATGATTGATTTGTTGTCACACCATATAATTAGGCTCAAATATTGAGTCTATTAAATGCCACGACTGGAGTGGAGTGAGTGTTAGTGGAAGTACATCTGACTGCACATTTGGATTCCCTGCTGTTTTTGTTTTAAGAAAAGCTGCAGGAATAACCTGATGTTTTTTTTTTTTTTGACAAAACAAGAGTACAATGCAACATCACCTGACATCACATGTTGCTGACCCCTCAAYATCTGACCTTTATTTCACAAACAAAAATGATAAGCAACAAGAAATATCTGGATTTTTTGGGGTTGCTTTTGCTTGTTCTTTACAGGTCAGCTGAAATAAACTGCATCGTGCAACACAAAACCAAAAGTTTTAGCTTTGAATATCTTGCTTAGCATTGTTATTTTGGGCGTCTCTTCAGTAACTTAAAAGCAAAACAGGAAACTCTATAAAACAGAAAAATATGTCAGATCATACGAGGTTTCAAAATGCTCATTTTAGGCATTTAGTCATCACCAGGCCTAAACGGGCACACACCCACACAGGTGTGTTCTGCAATGGAAATGACAGTTGAGAGACAAAGGAAGGCCTGTCTGTTTCAGTGATGCAAGAACCACTTAAAGTCACAAAATGCATGCACACAGGGGGCACTGAGGGGGGTTGTGGGCAGGAATCCGAGTTATTCACCTTCAGGTAAAAACATGCACAGAAGTGACACACAAAAAACAAAACAATGCAGTACCTTGTTGAGTTCTTCTATCCGACGGATCAGGTAAGGGTTACTTGAGGAGTTTTCAAAGAAAACATAATCTGCAACAACAAATACAACATGTGACACATTGTATCCCATTACTGCAGCAGAACAAGTCCGTGTGACAAAGGCAAAATTATGAAGACATGCATTACTGTGTCTGCATCATCATGGAAAAAGATTACCCGATAAACAAGGAAAGCCAAATCCTTGTGCTTTTTATATCACCACAAATAAAGTGCAAAAGAAGTGAATAGGTACCAGTTAAAGAGATTTAGGCAGATTCATACAAACCTATTACTTCATTCTTTAAACTGTAAAACCGTTACTATACTGTTGTGTTAAATTAGATGAACATATAGGAGAATATAGGAAGTCAAAATCCTCAACTTTATTGTAGACTTCTATTTATTCCTATTTGTGCAAGATGTGCAGTAACTCTGCAAAACTTATTTAAGTCAATATGTGAATCCATATTTCCAGCTATCTAAAATATTGACTATTATGTGAAAAAAACAAACACCCCAAAGCAAAGTGGATTATGCAAAAAAATGTCAGAGTGAGACACTGAGTTGCATTTTCTTAAAACCAACAACAAAAAACATTTTCAAGCATGCAATATTTCGGCTCCAAATGGATTCTACCCTATGCTTGTATTATTGTTAAAACAAATTGCAGCTATCTTCTTTTGCTTGCAATATTAGCAGCATTAAGATTAAATGTTTAAGCCAAAAAGGAGTTTTAACAGGCAGGGGAAAATATGAATAAAGAGCTGGAATGTACATGGAAAACTTAGACAGCAGAAACAAAAGGTTGAACACGCAGACAGCAAAGTAAACACCTTGCCGTGTGCCAATAATGACGTGCAGCACATCACCAGGGGCGACAAGACAAGTTATGYTGCATGTGAAGCATCTATACAACGGATGCACAATATAGTCAAAATCAATTAAATACCAAGCAGACCAATAATAGAGCCCAATAAAATATTCTGCAATCTAATTGATCCCCACCATCCTAACTTCCCACAGCTGATTTAGTACAATAGCTGAAATGCTAACGCAAAAAGCTAAAGAAACACTACAGATTTGTGGTGACAGGATAAACAAAAAGAGTGAGGAAATATGGGTTCATTGCCACCGATATAATCAAAATATTCAACATTGCAACTGCACATTTTTCTAATATTATGCAGCCCTAATTTATACATTTAGTAGTTTTAACTGTCGATTATGTCTGAATATAAGTGTAATATGGCAGTGCATTGTGACGTAAAATCAAAGAACTTAGTAACAGCATTCCATCCTCATATTCAAAATTAAAATCTCACAGCATCTTACCTTACAGTATTAAACTGTACGGTGCATGAAATAACATGGCTGCTTATGAAATTTATATTTGAGTCTTCACAATTAAGTTTGTAATAAGAAAAACTGTGTGTTAAGGTCTAAAAATTATCTAAAATGCTATTGAGTATACTGAATTTGTTTTGCAGACATCCAGATTCAATGCTTCCTCGTCAAAAAGAATGTTTTAGGTTTTCAGAATCACAATCACATGTTTGACATCATTTTAGAAAAGCTAGTGATGCACAATATTAATATTGCCATAACAATATCAGTGGTGATTGGCCCATAATTTCCTCACTTTTTCTTTGGTCATCACTATCTTATCCACCAAAGCCAATAACAGTTCGTTGGATTGACCAAATATATTACTAGCAATAGCATGCAGAATAGTGCTGGCCGGTATACCATTTTGTACTGAATACCGTTTTTTATTTTTGTTATGATATGAATTTTTCAAATACCGGGCATTCCGGTTTAAATAGCGGAACGTTTTGTCGCGGCCGCCAGTGAACTGTTGTTTCCCGAGGGACATTTTTCCTTGTTGCACCGCTATGTGCGTTAGCATGCTAATGTTTGGAGCAGCTACTTGCAGCCGCGGGTGGCGATTCCGCTGCTTRTATTGACTGACGTTTAAAAAAACATCCCGTTTTCGCCGTCGCTGAATGTAGTAAACACCTCTTCAGTGACGTGCACAGTTAGATTTAACGCGGTTAGTTAATATGGAGAGGTTATGCTGATGGAGACTTAACGTGGTTCTATTGTGAAAAGCCYGCAGGAAGTAGTTYGTAGYGGAGTTRGAATTGACTGGTGTGCAAGGTGAGTCGTGCTGATAAGCTTTAATAAATAACATAAAACAGTAAACCCGATCATAATCTTTTCTTAACCCTCCTCCTTCACAACTGGGCCAAAATGCGCCCAGCTGAGCTGTGATGAAAAGAAAAATACCGTCAAATACCGTGAAACCAGTGAAAATTTTAAAAATTCTGTGATATAAAATTTTGATCATATCGCCCAGCTCTAATGCAGAACATTAATGAACTTGAAATTAGGGTTGGGCAATATTGGAAAAATTAATTAATCACGATTAATTGTGGTATTTAGCCGATAACGATTAATTTGACGATAATCCCCGAGTCCCTGGACACCCTTATGTCCTAGTAACATGACCATTTTATAGGGAGAAAATTGGCTCTTTGTAAAAATCTGTTCCAATTTGTGTCAAAATTACAGACTTCAGGCTATACATCAAACTTTAAATTGTGTTGATAGATAAATAAATTACACAACTTTTTTTTAATGTTTGTTATATTTGAAGCAGAGGGGAGCACCAAGCGGTTAGTCTGCCGGGTGGCATTAAACGTATTAATCGTCAAGTGCCAAAAATTAATCGATTGTTTTTCTGACGATTAATTGCACACGATACGATTATGCCCAACCCACTTGAAATATATGACTATAAATTTACCGATGTCTAAGACATCCCTTGAAATACTGATTTTATGCTCACCATATTACAAAAACACTATATTTTTTTGTATWATTTGTAGGGCTGGGCATCAAGTCTCGATCGGAACCAGGACTAATATTTCAATTCTCCCGGAATTGTTYGTACTTTTAAATTTCAAAACCTAGTTTCAATACCCAGTCTGCCAACTGGAAGAAGCTGTCCAACCAAACGAAGAAAAAAAAAAAACTCAGGAAAGCCGCCAATCACCAACTCSAGTTGTTGTTCAGACTCAAATTGTCAAATTAAGTGAAATTATCTGCCAGCGCAGTAAGACAATTGCACTTAGTAATACTTGAAATGAGGAAAACATTTTCTGGCAAACAATGAAACACATTCTGCTCTTRCTTAGGATATTGTCTCAAAACAAGATCAAAACTACTCTTTGGCTGAATATARGTGTACRATTTGGTTAGATGGACAAGTTTTGCAGAGTACCCMAGTGTAAAAAGTAAATTCATAACATCTGTTCMTCTAGAAAGAACTCTGGTTAGCTACCGCAATAATGTCAACTTTTTTTGACCCTGCCTCTAAAAGAATTTAAATTGTGAATCATTGGGAACCGGAATCCAAATGAGGAACCGCAATTGTTCAGATTCAAACAATGCCCAACGCTACTCAAATTTWAAGACAATTGACATAACCTTTTCTGGCTTTCTGTGTCAGATATTCACACGTACGTTCTTACTATCTATACCAGAATTTCCCAAAGTTGGGGTCGGGACCCAAAGTGGGGTCCCGAAACATCAAGGTGGGGTCCTGAAAAGATTTTCTGAATTAGTTACATTTTTGTCTTAGTTGTTACAAAGGAGTGAGGTTAGTGTATGTAAAATGGATAAATGTAGTATAAAAATATTGTTACTATGCTCATGTTTAGTTGACCTGATACAAATATTTATCATCCAAAAATACTTGGGGGAACAGGTCTCTGCTACTGTTATTTTGTGGGTCAAAAGCTTAAAGGTTTGGGAACCACTGCACTTTGGTTCCCAAAGTTGGGCTTGGGACCCAATTATGGGTCATGAAGCACCTTGAATAATCTCCAGAAATCAATTTAAAGGGTCATAAAATAATTGCTGATGTAATATTTTCTGTATAATTATTACAAACACACAAAATAAGTATAAATAAGTATTTATATTTGTGTACAAGCTGTTTAGATTGTCAAAAAGCCTGTGTTTTTAGGGTTATTAACAAAGTTTGTGAACTCAGACCAGTAATATTTGGGGTCACAAGTTTTTGCCATGGATATTTTGTGGGTCAGAAGATAAAAAGTTTGGGAACCACTGATCTATACTATACATGCTGATATTTGAAATACAACTAACCAGAAGAAACATCAATATCAGGTATCTACAATGCAGCTGATACAGGTTATAATTTTGATTTAACCTACTTCGCATTAAAATTGTTTGCTCTTTTTATTCAAAATATTCACTATTTTTATAATTACAATTACTAGTGACTATAATTACTAGTGATTTCTCCAGTTATCTGAAATGGCTTTTAAAGCAGTTATATCAACATGCATGTTGGATATCCTAATGTAATTACATTTTAGTTATTTTATTCAAAATATTAAAGATGTATAAAATATTGTATATTTGGAAGGCTCCTGTCTAATTACTGTATGATAAATCGGATTGTCACAGATGCAAGGTTCAATCCCAGCACGACGCCATAAAATATAAATTAAGCAAAATTCCAGCAGACAGCTAACGAGCTAGCTGCCCTGTCAGTCAAAATCGCTAATTAACAGCTTTTTTGAGCTAATGTATGCGTACAGAGTGACAACAGTTGTGTTTTCAATGCTACCAAGATGATTATATATACATTGCTGGAATAATGAACGAGTGGCGACGAGGAGATAATGATAATCAATGGAGTCACTGCTGATGCTAACGTTAGCTAAATAAGGACTCGCACTAATGGCTGCATGCCAGAAGAGGCAAATACAAAGGCAGCTTCGGGCTGACCGTGATAATAATTTAACAGGCGTATAAACATATGTCTAGTCGTCAGGTGCCTCGGTGTATCACTCCTCCATGTCCCCCCGCGAGGTTTTACACAGCGACATGGCAGCGATAAAAGGTGCCGACAGCTAAAAAATGTTTACATTTTAAGCTAGTCGCTAAGCAAGCTGGCGGCTAGCTGCTGCTGTGGCCACGACAGACGCGAGGCCTGACCCATTTTGAATCCCAAATATTCAGAAAATACTCACCTTCCTGCTCCAAAAACCAACTCATACACACGTGTACAGCAAAGCCGCGTCTCACAACCAGACGCAAAGTTATTAAAATCCAACCATAAAACACCCAGGAGGTACAAGCGTTGAAACGATCTCTATTTGAATAAAAAAGGGGGATCCACATTGACATACATACCTCCGACCCGGTACATGTTAGCCGCCATTTCTGCCCTCCCAGAGTGCGAAGCATAAGCTAAGAAATTAAAATAAATTAATAAAAAATTGTACAAATCTGCGTCTTAAAACATACAAACGGGCTTTAAATGGCGACAGTCGAGACTCCGGATGTGTACGCTATCGGGAAATATTTGGCAATTCAGCCCCCCCTCCTCCTCCAACGATTCACGGCACCCTCAAACAATACGGTGAACTCAGAGCAGCCAAAAGAAGACGAAAAACCACCGAGCAGGGGAGGGGAACTGCGCATGCGCAAACACATCCACAGACACACTCAGGTGAGCCGGGTCATTAATTTGATTCGAACATATTATTAAATGAAATGTGCAAGGAACAGACTATCTACGATTTCTCACACCACTGCTTTTTCTGGCTTCAAACAAATATAATCAGACGGATGTTATTTCTATCAATGACTAAACAGCACATAGCAACAATTCAAAAGATCTTTTTCATATAAATGCTGACATGTGGAAATATAAAGATATTTTACCCACACTGCAACTAATAATAATAAAAAACCTGGTCACATCCATAGGGGTGGTTTCTCTTATGCCAGCACTGATACAACAGAATGTAAACAATTATGTTTATCCTGCAGGAGGAAGGCATATTGCTGATTCTATGACTGTTTAAATCAAATGACTAAAACTGATCACAAAGTATAAGATACACTTAAACAGTCACAAAATATCCTTTGCTCCTGCACTGCAAAAACTGGCCATCTTACCAAGTTTTAAAATCTTATATCCAGACAAAAAGTCTTTTTGATCTTGTTTGAGACTGATTTACTAAACTAGAACTGGTTGTTTAAAAATAATAATCTTGTTTTCAGAATGTGTAAGAGCATTTGTCTCATAGTCTGAAAATTTGACTCAAATTTAATAAAAAAATTTCTGCCAATGGAGTAAGAAAATTTTTCTTGGTAAGATTCTTGAAATAAGAAAAACTTGAGTCAGATTAAGTATTTTAAGAATCTTTCCAAGTAAAATTTTCTTACTCTATTGGTAGAATTTTTTGACTTAATTTGAGTCAAATTTTCAGACTAACAAGCCAAATAACCTTACACATTTTGAACACAAGATTATTATTCTTACACAATCAGTTCTTGTTTAGTAAATCAGTCTCAAAACAAGATCAAAAAGACTTTTTGGCTGGATATAAGGTTTTAAAACTTGGTTAGGTGGACATTTTTTGCAGTGCACCTCATTAATTTGTCCTTTACCAGTGGAAATCTTCCCAATAAGCTATAGAGAGTTATACCCATTTTCAAATCTGGTGCACCGATTCTGGCCTGTAATTATAGAACCAGTAAGCATCTTACCTGTGGTTACAACATTTTTGGAGAAGAGGGTGACTCAACAATTAACAAAGCACTTACAATCAAATAGTTTCTTAAATCCTTTCCAGTTTGGTTTTTCGTTCACATTACTCAACAGAAACAGCAACTTGCTACAGGTCAAATCATCACTTGATCAAGGTTAATTAGTTGAAGCAGTTATTTAGATCTTAAAAATGCATTTGACAAACTGAATCATGATATTTTTTAATTAAAAAAAACTATTAAACTTTAATTTCTCCAACTTAAGTTAACAGTGATTTAAGTTAGGTGTGCAACAATACAGAAAATAATAACTTTCCTAACTAGTTAGGATACGAGCAGCTGCATTCTGAACCATCTGCAGACCTTTAAAACTTCTCTTTGGAAGCCCAGAGAGAAGAGCATTGCAGTAGCTGATACGTGATGACACAAAAAAAAAATGCACGATTCGGCTCAGTTCGATACTTTTTCAATACAAAAAGAGAGATTTTCATGCCGTTTCTTATTTGTAATTTATTGAAACTGATTATGAACATTTGTTTAAACTCAAAAGTACATTGTTTAAATTAAATGTTGCTGAAACAGCAAGTTTCTCAGTGGATCTGCACTTGACAATGCAGCCTAGGTGGAGTGGTCGAACACAGATCCACTGAGCCTTCAACACAGAGCATCTTCAGAACACAAGTTGATAAAATAAGTTTTAAAAGTCCGTATTGTTCGATAGTGTGTATTGAACCTAAAACACTGCACTGAAAGGTTCAATACAAATTTTTGCACCCCTAATCATAATTGTCATAAGCAGTGTGTCATCATTGGTGGTAACAAATCATCCTTTCTTAAAACAATAACAAATACAGGTGTACCACAGGGCTCATCTCTGGATCCTCTTCTTTTTAGTCTCTATGACTTCTCAGATTCATGTCCTGGTTAGGTTTTCAGATGTACACAGCGTACAGTACGCTGATGATGTAGATGTGTTGCTTATAAAAACAATTGCAGCATGGTTTGACAAGTCATGTCTTACATTGAATGTTAAAAAATAAAACTGTGTCTGTTTTCCTCAAAAGCTCGRCCTTGTAAAAATGTCACTGATTTGATTTTAAACTTGAGGATTAATGGTCAACATACTGAGCAGTTTTCAGAAGTTAAATATCTGGGTTTCATTTTAGATTCACATTAAAATTTTTGAAAAACATGTTAAGATGGCGAGCAGAGTTGCAAAGGCAAATTTGCACACATTCCGATTAATTAGAGATTGTATAACATTTCCTGTTGCTAACAGTTTTATGCACACAACGATTCTTTTTCTCATTTAGGTTATTGTGTAACATCTTAAAGCAGCAGCTACAACCAACAAGCCTCTGACAATGATTTAACAGAGCAGTACATCACTGTCATCTTCTCAGGAAACTTAACATGAAGAATTTTGAAAACTTTGTTAAATTTTCCAGTTTAAAACTTGTTTTTAAATGACTAAATGGACAAGCTCCTCAGATACTCAGTGAGCTTTTGGTTCCTCTTAAAGCTACAGGCAAAATGACTCATAGAGCAGGCAGTTGGAACTGTAAGGTTCCTTTTTAAAAAAACAATAATAAAACTTCCATGGGTCAGTCAAACAGCTTTTTCTGCTCWAGGGATTAACATGTKGAATTCYCTAAAACTGATTTCTGACTGGAACCATTTTAGATCAAGACYKAAMTATTTCCTGAAGGACAACCAGCTTGTAATCACGAATAACTGCCACCTTTTATTCATATTATTTTGATCTGTTTGYAGTTTATTTTATGATTTATGATTGTGTCTCACTATTGTAATGTTTTATTTTTAACTGTATTTTAAACTTTTATTTTCGTTTTGATGAAAGTCCATCTGGACTGTCCAGGTGGACTTGTCCATACATAAACAATAAGCTAAATRTAATGAAATTTGTGCTTGGTTGATTGTTGTAACAATGTTTCTTGACAATACTTGGAAACCCTGTACATAATGTAAGAAAAATGTGGCAGATTTGCAGAGTAGATTGCCAAATCTTCACTGCCACTGCCAAACAGCCTATTCTGCTACTGACTTTTGTAATTTATTGGATTGGGAGATCACTTTATCTTATCCACTCCCAAATTTCTAAAGGTAGTCTATGATAAACTCTGCTCTGTGCAGTGTCATCTCAGAGGATAAAGCAGGGCTATTCAACTTGTGGCCCATGGACCACATCCGGCCTGCGAGTAACCAAAGTTCGGCCCGCCTATTGGTTCGTTCATCTCTTAAACTCAAACCCCCATATTTCTATGTTAATTACTCTAAGTTCTTTTAGTTTTTCATCCAAGACAGTACAAGCAGTTGAAGATAAAATTATGAAAGTGAAAATAGAATTAGTTTTAAAATTTGGCATGCCAGAGATGTCAAAATAATATTTGCATTAAATAGGAGACATAATGTGTTCGTTTTGTTTTTGACATTGTTTTAATACCACTGCTTTTATTATAGGGTTCTGTATGTTGTATTCATGGTTAAATGCATTCTTTGTAATACTTGGTTTATTTACATAATGACTAATGTCCGGCCCCTGTGCTGTTGGCCTGCATTAACTGTGACCCCCAGAGCAATTTAGATGAATAGCTCTGGGATAGAGTTTGGTCCCAGATCAGGGGTCTGCAACCTTTACAGTCAAAAGAGCCATTTCTTCCCTTTGGCTCAGTAATAAAATGCATCCATACAACAGTGATGTCACAGGTTTCAGGTGCTGATATTCAGGGATCAATCAGGCCCCTGGTTGTCAGCACCAGAAGCTCAAAATAAAAGTCAGAAGCAGAAAAGGCTGTTTGGTAAGTTTTTCTTGGGTGCAACATACTTTGTCTGGGCCTGTTCAAGCTGAAGGGCAAGATTGATGAATTGGAATTTAAACATGTGCCACTCCAGTCAAATTTGATTTGTTAATTTTTCCCAATAATATTTCAGCAAATACACTCACAAAATTACGTTACGACACGCCAAACCACYGCTGCATCAAATCTTCACTTTGTCACTTTGCTCCTGAGCAGCACAGTGGCAACAGAAACAAACAATTCCTTCCTAACAGGAAGAAAGCTCCAGAAAAACCGGTCTCAAGATGGGCGGCCAACTGGCTGAAGTTTGAGAGGACGGGTAAGAGATGCAGACAGCAACAAAATGACTGGACCARGTGTGGTTTTTATGGGGAGAAGAGCAATGAAAACATGGAGTTAATGGCAGCAGTAATTGCAAACACATACAGTAGAGAGAGTAAAGACAACAGAGAAAGAAAATGCAGTCAGTTTGTCCTCCAGCAGTGTACAGCCATGGAAAAAACTTGAAAGACCACTTTAAAATGACCAGTTTTTTTTATGATTTTACTCGTTATCTGTATATGTTGGAATAAAATGAACATAGTTATTCTATGGACAACGATTCTCTGAAATTCCAAGCAATTATTTAGCACTTATTTGCAGAAAATGAGAATTGGTCAAAATGATGCAGCACTTTAAGACCTCAAGTACTGTAATGCACAGAAAACATGTTCATTTAGAAACAACAATATGTTTTAACTCAGGAAGAGTTTGGAAATCAATATTTGGTGGAATGTTTTCGACAAATACAGGGAAATATAAGATGAAGCTGTTGAGAGCTTTGAAGTCTGCTCTGAATTTGACAAGTAGCTCAAATCTGGGAATATCTCCTTCTCTTACAACAAATCATCAAATTTATTGCAAAATGTTGGCTTAAAATTCATTATTARTTTTGAACAATTTTGTCCTATGTGAACCAAGAGATTAGATACAAACATCATTTTGCCTATACTTGTTAACAATTTCACAGCAAATTAATGTAAAAATGTTTATTTTTATATTTGGCGTTTTAATATGATTTAAGAAAAACGCTTTATTTGTACTTTTTTTCCCAAGCATTATGAATTCCTCTTTGGTAACATGAAAATCTGGCTCCATAATGTTTACTGGAGGGGTTCCTCCATTTCGCCGCGTGCGTGAGCACGCTCGCGCGCCTGTGACATCACAGATGGGATTGGCTCGCCCTGGCTGGGGTGGAGAGAGTCTTTCACACAGGCAAACAGAGGCAGAAGATGGAGCGGAGAGTCAGAGGCAGAGGGAATAGTTGCCTCCATCCGCGGACCACAGCCAAGATCCTCTGAAGGCGAACCACGCCCCGCGGCCAGGGGAGACCGTCAGCTCCCCCCCTCACCTCCAAGACAACTAAGTGCCCAAACTCCTGGGCTGGAAGGCGGGATGGACTGTGAAGAGGAGTTCTAGTCGGGTACAGGCTGTGCGTGAAGATGAAGTTCGGGAAGAGCATCTGCGTGCTGAATGTTGGGGGAACCCGTTACGCCTTCACCCGTGAGGTGATCAGGGATTTCCCTCTCCGGCGCGTCAGCCGCTTACATGCCTGCGCAACAGAGAAAGAGGTGCTGGAACTGTGCGACGACTACGACCGGGACCAGAATGAGTTTTTCTTCGACCGCCACGCGCAGGCTTTCGTGTTCATCATGCTGTACGTGCGCTCTGGGAAACTACGGTTCGTTCCCGGCGTGTGCGAGCTGTCCTTCTACACGGAGATGCTCTACTGGGGGCTGGAGAGCGCGCACCTGGACTCCTGCTGCCAGAAGCGCCTGGACGACAGGATGTCCGACATCGGACTGGACAGTCTCTCGGAGGGGGACGTCGTACTGTCAGGGGATGAGCCTCAGAGCCCGGAAGAGACGGCGCCACGGACTGCGCTCACGGGCCGCGCTAAATGGCTCGAGAAGGTGCGCAAAACATTCGAGGAGCCAAACTCTTCCCTCGCAGCGCAGATTTTGGCTTCGGTATCCGTGATTTTTGTGATCATTTCCATGATAATGCTGTGTGCAAGCACACTGCCGGATTGGGACACGGCTAAGAGGCAAACGGTGGAGGAGCACAGGTAAGCCCTGGTTTTAGGATCAAACTGTCCCATCTTCTTTCCAATGAAGCGAGGCGCAAAGAGCGCGGATGTATGAGATGGCGCTCTGAAGTCCTGTGCGTAAAAGYGAGCTCAACAGGCTTCTTTCGAAACAAATACTTCATGAATAAACAATGAAGTCCCTCTGAAATGTCTACGAGCAAAGCATCAAACTTAACGCACACAAAAGGCCTAATAAAGTTGACGCATTCAAGTATTTATATGCTTCACACACATTACTAAATGACCTGAGATATCATGGAGGCATGGCACAGACACAATTTGTTGGTATCGTTCCTACTCAAAAGAAAAAAGAAAGAAAACCACAAATAAATAATGGGTTTTGTCTCAGCAGTCCAAAAACTTTAGGGCATGTCAACTATTCATGTTTGACCTTTTTTTCTGTCAATAATGGAGCCCTCCTGGGTCTTCTTCCATGGAACCTGTTGTGATTTGACAGCTGGTGCAATCACAAAGTGACAAACCTTGATCAAGGAATTCAGCTTGAATGGTTTTGACTGTTRTGGCACTGACKGATTAACCTGAGGTTGCATTTCCTCTTGCATCCTCCTGGGAGGCTGTACAGCCCCACAAACCTAATATTTTATTAATACTGGAAGCTGTGGGGACAGAAACATGCAGCTGCTTATAGACGCTCTTTACCGTTTTTGTGTAAACATGTTTCCTCCCCGAACTCTTCAGACAGCTCTCRCCTTTGTTTTCTCTGCTCCATGTTTCAGAGAAAGGCACACATTGATGCCAAATAAACCAGTGGCRTGTTTGTTCTCTTTAAAAATGACTGATGAAAAGCTTGAAGGCACTCATTAAGGTCAAACATTCAGTTTGAAACATGACTGTAAGGATTAATGCTTTCTTTAAGGGTAGAAACAAATCATCTTTGTTAGATAAAATAATTTCTTTTCACATTTTTCATTTACCCTTGCTTGCAGACATATATATTAGACAGTTGCTTTCAAATGAATAATGAGAATTGAAGCGTTGTTTAAATGAGYTGTAAGGGTACCAACAAATTTATCAATGTGATTGTTTGATAAATTGAGGCCTCTGAGGTCGTTAGGCTTGCTGACAAGTTCCAAGMGGCACATTAATCACTTGGCTCCTCACATGGTTGTCACAAAAGCTCTCAAAGAGGCAAATCAATGACCAGTCAATACTATCTACTAGACATGAAGTGTTAATTGTCGAGGAAGGCCTCTTTTGCGTCATTCGTTTTTAATCAGAGCAGCATTATTGGCTTGGTTGTTTACGTTGAGCACAAGCTGAACAAACACATCCTGGCTTTCTAACATYCAAGAGTCTAAAAAGTTGTAACTTGAATGTGTAATGAAACAAACCATTATCCATCTAACACGATTTCTGTCAACGTTTGAGTTGTTTCAACCTTGGTTTGTGGACCAAAGGTGAAAATCTGTCTCTTATTTTTTTTACTGCAGTCTGTCCTCCCATGGAAGTCCCGAGGAGGCCATTTTCTATATAAGGTTAGGTTATGTTCTCTCAGGCTGGACACAGTTTTGAGTTCTGGAGTAGATCCAGAGGGTTAAGTAATCAACTAAAAKTGAAGCTCGTGCTTGGGTCTGAAATGATTTAGTTTCATGTCAGTAGATGATGTAATTTTACTCAGCTGCTACATAATTTGGTTTGGTTTAATTGTGGTTATAGTCATCCTCTTGGCACTGTGGWATGTGTTCGCTTCAATCCCTTTATGCCAAATAGCACCACCTCTTTCTAATTCAGTTCGACTGCCTTTGCTGTGTTAATTAAAAGGGTAATTACATGGCTGCTTTTGTAACAACCTCTCCAAAGGTTCTGAATCCCTCCTTTGTGTGCAGCTTGTCCCGTGTGTCTGTCCCACTTGTGTCCACTCCAAAGTGGCGTCCTCGTTTCTGATAATTTTTGATCCTCTTTGCTTCGCCTCCCCCCCCTACACTGATGAACTGTCGACCAGTATCTCACATCATACATTCTTGTATCTCCTCGAAGCTTTTCTGCCATTTCCTGTTTACTGGTCAACTCGTTTCTCTCCCCTCCTTTTCTCCTCGCAGGATCGTGGAGGCCGTGTGCATCGGCTGGTTCACAGCGGAGTGCACAGTGCGCTTTCTGGTGGCCAGAGACAAGTGGGACTTCATCCGCCATCCGCTAAACATCATCGACGTGATTGCCATCACCCCCTACTATGTCACCATGGCGATGGCCGGCGCAGGGATGCCTGGGGCCGGGCTCGGGGTCGCCGGGGTGATACTGCGGGTGCTGAGGATGATGAGAGTGTTCTGGCTCATGAAGCTGGCCAGACACTTCCTGGGCCTGCAGACGCTGGGGCTGACGCTCAGGCGCTGCTACCGGGAGATGGTCATGCTGATGGTGTTTGTCTGCGTCGCCATGGCGATCTACAGCGCTCTGGCACAGCTGCTGGAGCACGGCTTGGACGTGGACTCGCCGAACAACGATTACGCCAGCATCCCGGCCGCCGCGTGGTGGGTCATCATCTCCATGACCACGGTCGGATACGGGGACGTGTACCCCGTGACGATCGGGGGACGGGTGCTYGGCGGGATGTGCGTGGTGAGCGGGATTGTCCTCCTGGCGCTGCCCATCACGTTCATCTACCACAGTTTTGTCCAGTGCTACCACGAACTCAAGCTCCGCTCTGCCAGATATGCACGCGACCTGTCCGAAGAAATGCTGCAGTGAAGACGCACCTCTGATCCCCCACTGCCTCTGACAAAAACACAACAAACCACAAGACACGCTGATCTCACCAAAAACCCAGCATTCCATAAAAGCAGTGGTGGGCAGCACTAATATAAACATTACTTGCATTAACCCTAAAGCACTAACTCAGATATTTAGGTCCCCTAATCTTAAACACCCGCTTCGGATGTTATCATCCATTAAATGGACGTTATTAGTCGTTATCAGTCCCATAGAATGGCTTCAGACTGTCAGCTGGTTAGTATGAGGCACAAAACCACTAAGGTTAATTTTAGAGAAAATGACATGGGCTACGATAAAGTAGACCGGACTCCGGCGGTAGCAGATTGTTGCATTCCAACATATATGGCACTAGTAACCCACTAGGGGGCACTGTCGGGACAGTCTGACGCCATTCTATGGGACTGATAACCACTAATAACGTACATTTAATGGACTGATAACATCCGAACCGGCTGATCTTAAAGCACTAACGCACTGAAAAATTTAGTAAAAGCTAATTCTAAAGCACTAATATAATCCAGTTGACACATGAAGCATTCTTCAGTCAACATGAGACAATATTTACTGCGTGCAGGGTGTCAACACATTCTCACTCTCGACTCGTCACATTGATGTTTTTCCAAGGTTTCCTCTGCGTCTTATTTTGACGCGTCAGGTACACCTGAGTTATTGACACACCAGGCATTTTCGTGTTCCCTCGGCATCTGGGTTTGACGCGTTGGGACGCAAAATATAGGGGTCTTTGAGTTGGGGTCCGTGGTTAATATTAGGGATCAGGGTTAATGGTTAGTTTTAGATATAGAGTCAGGGACAGCATGTCTAGAGTGAATAAAGGTAATTTTAGGATTTGGGACAGTAGTTTTTGTGCATTTTCTACACTTTCTGAAATTATGACAACGGATTCCACCCCATCTCGTCAATAACTGATGCGAGGGGGTACCCGACGCGTCAAAATCGGACGCAGAGGGAACCTTGGAAAAGCATCAATATGTGACAACTTGGGAGTGAGAATGCGTTGCTTGGTCAGGTTGCGTCTGCGTCCAGATTTTGATGTGTTGGGTACCTCCCACATAGGGATCTTTGTGTTGGGGGTCTGTGGTTAATATGAGGGACCAGGATTAATGGTTAATTTTAGGTACTGAGGACGGGGATAGGTTGTATAGGGCTCATAGAAGTTAAATTTAGGGTCTGGGACAGTTAGTTCTCACGCATTCTCTACACTTTCAAAAATGGTTAATATGAGGGATCAGGATTAATAATTAATTTTAGGTATTGAGGTCAGGGATGGGATGTCTAGGGCTAACAGAAGTTAAATTTAGGGTCTGGGACAGTTAGTTGTCACACATTTCCTACTCTTTTCAAAAATATGACAACACACCTTCATCTCATCTCGTTAAGAGCTGACGCGAGGGGGGTACACGATGCGTCCAAAACAGGACGCAGATGGCTACCTGACCAAGTGTCAATATGTTGACGAGTTAGGAGTGAGAATGTGTTGAGAATGTTGTCACTTAGTGCCCTTGGCGGGCCAAATGGGAGTCACCCGCAGGCCACATATGGCCCGTGGGCCTTGAATTTGACACATGTCCTTGTAGATAAGTGATACGGATATGAACAAAATATGTGACAGCTTTCACCCTCAACTGTGAACAATAATGTTGATCAATAATATTTAAAGGCCTCAGTTAGTGCTTCTAAATTTAGCAAGTGCTGATCCACTAATGAATTTAAAAAAYAGCAAAAGYCCTACAGCACTAATCAGGAAATTAGTTCCCCTATTAGTGCTTTAGGGGAACTGTGTCCACCACTGCATAAAAGAATGCACATCACCCGCCACCCTTCATGCCAGAGTTTTAGATGAAAACCTTTTTATGCAGAGAAATGGCAGAGTTGTGTTTGTTTTGATGAAACCTTTGCAAGATGTCACTCTCAGCCACGTCCTTTCTGCTCGATCTGTAAACCTGACTGAGTTATGGACTTTTTTTTTGTGTTGGCCATTGTCGATTAGCCGTGGCAGCCATCTTGAATTTTGTGTGCTTTACAAGTTTTTACTTTGTAAAGGTGCATCCAATGATTGTTTCTTGCAAGTTTAAAAAGAAATCCGTCCAGTAGATCACGAGCTATTTTTGCTAACAAACAGGGTTGACTCCTATAACTAATGCCAAAGTTTTGAACACAGACGTTGGCTCACAGAATTTAAGTTAGCAATGCTCTAAATTTTAGCTCGCATTGTTTAAAACTGACAGAGTTGTGGCCGTTTTAGTGTTTGCTCTGTTTGCTTTGCTGTGGCGGTCATCTTGCATGGGGCTGACTCTAAAAGTTAATGTCAGTGCTATGRTTACTTTCTACAAGTTCTATTAGTTTATTATAGATATTTATAGATATTATTAAAGATATTTTGGTAAAGGTACAAATACATGACATGCACACAAAGACAAAAATTTGATCACTCTGCCTTATTGATGGGTGATRATAGGTGAACCGTGTTTTCTCATATGGGGAGCAATCGAATCTTGTTCCTCTGTCTAGTTTCTGCCTCTTGATCTCTAATCATTGTCTTTAACCAGCACGAGCTAATTAATTATTTATTAACGAGACACAGGTAGTCCCAGTTTGTCAGCGGCTGCTGTTTACACTGTATTCCCATGGTTACAACTCAGGCAGAGATGGATGCATCCGTCGAGGCGTGTGCTTGTTTGTTTGTCTGGCCGTCAGCCRCTTGGTGTTTCGGTGATTTGCACCCAGATGGAACAAGTTACACAAGACTGATGTGTGACCTAGATGCAGTTTGTTAAACCGGTGTGAAATAAGGAGAAGGAGCCAACAAGTKTGAGCAAAGCAGAGGGGGGGTTTACACGGAGGACTTGTTTTGGGAGAGCTTGTAAGCCAAGAATAATGAAATATGGGCGCGGGTCAATAGGGAGTACGAAGTGTCAGACAATAAACAGAAATGACGGAGCAGATGGAGTGCGAATTGGAGGATAATTTATTTTTTATTTTTACTCCACAAAAATGACAGTATTGACAAAGCCTGAGCACAAAGACCGTATAGATGCTTCTGTATTTGTGAGTGAATGTGAGGCATTTTGTGTTTCTCTGTCTCCAAGGCAACCTCATCCTCCAACATGCCAATCATAATGGTGGTTGATTTCTGTGCACACAAATAGGCTGCATCCACGCACAACCTCCTGGCTGGCATACAACACTTTTGTCCTGGGATTATGTGGAATATCACATGGTGAGCTAAGTTAGGATTTTGTTTTCTTTTTTTTTTTCTGTTCAGGAAAAAAAAGGGAAGTGAGCAGCTGAGGTTGTCACAAACGATGATTCCTGACATTAACTTACACACGTTTGCAGACTTTTTAGCCAAGATGCTTCGGTTTGTTGAAGAGAGACATGATCCAAACAAACAAGTCAACACCTCTCCCACACACCAGTCTTTCTCTACATCTCCGCTCCTCTTCCTCCTGTTGCATCAACCATTCTCTTTTTACACACGTACATATCAAAATTAAACTCACGCTTGCTTGTTCTTGATCTCTGTTGATGTCTTTGCGGCTCTGTGTTGTGGACGCCTGAGTAGTCTTGTTGTCGTTCACGGTGTGCTTTTTAATTCAGTCCTAAACATTGAACTCAGTACGGTCGATTGTTTATTAGCTGCCTTTTAATAAATGAATCATGTAGCATTGTTTATAGGCACCAACATTTTCTGATTCAAGCCTTCAACTATTTTTCATCAGTACTTGTAATTAATGTGATCAGTGTTTGAGCTTTTTATAATAAAAATAATAAGTTGCAAAATATGTGTCCAGGTGCTGTTATTTTTTTCATCTTATTTTATGATATAAATGGTCAAATTTAGATGCTAGACTTCATTGTGTATTTTCTAAACTATGCGTAATTACCTAAATTATCAAATCTAATTGAAATTTTAATCTTTAATCACCTTATACTAACAAAAAACAGCTTTTTAATGACTTCATGTGATTTTAAGAAATCTTGCGAGATGTGACATTGCTCGGAGAATGTGTTGTAGGTGACTCTCAGCTACTACCACTGCAGATTTTAGCTCAATAACTGAAATTGACTGTTGTCTGTTGGATAATGTTGAATAAATCCCAATGAACTGGACTGGCTCTTAAAGTTGTTTATCTAAGTTTTATGAAAAAAATCCATTCACTGGTTCATGAGATATTTTGCTAACACAAATATGAACAAAAACATTATTGCCTTTTGAGTTTGGTTGTGTGTTCAAATATTAAAGATCCTATTGTCCACCACTAGACTTGATAACTAGATAAATAAGCATTTTAGTCAATGGAGTAATTCTAAAGTTATGATGTAACTACAGTTAAACAAATCTATTTCTGCTGCATGTATGACTCATAACACTCAAAAGGACACGTGAACCTCAGAGTGTTTTATGTACTCCCCCGAGTCAATTGTAGGTTGAGCATTGCACCACAATTTGGTTCACAATACTGCTGAAATAGCAAAACTGACTCTGAATCAACACTGAGCTGCCCTGCCTCCAGGGTTCAAACCTTATAAACATGGTTCAAGTCCAGCAGTTAGCTTTATTGATGGCTTTGTTTCCATTCACCTCAGCTGTTTTAACGTTATCTAAAAGGGAAGTCCTCCTGGGGCCACTCTGGCTAGTTTTAGAAGTTCAAAGAACAAATCCGAGCAAATATTACATTATTTACTTAGAAAATACATTGAATGATTGTGATGTGGATGAAGGGYTTAGCTTCATGGCTTCTGTAAAAATAAGACAGTTTTCTTCTAACTCAACAACTGCCGGTAATTAGAAAAATGGGATTTTACTTCAAGTATACACAGCAAATTTAAAAGCTTAACAACTGCTACAAATTTGTTGAATAAATTATTTGACTTGTTAAAATTAAAACAAGCAGAACACAAGTTCATGCCAGCAAAACTGCAGATAAAAACTAAAATGAGAAAAATAATAGCAAAACGTTATTTTTTTGGCAAACCATTAACTAAAAGCTAAACTCAGCAAAAAGCTATTGTTTAGCAAGATGTCGGTAACTGAAAGCTTGTGAAAGCAAACATGAAACGGTGGCTAAAATAAAAAAAATTACAAAATCAAATAAAAAACTTTTTTTTATCCCCAGAAGGACAATTGAAAGTGGCACATAGAGCATACATAAAAACAAAGATAAAATAAATAAATAAAGAGAAGTGTAGAATACATTAAGCAGTTGTAAATGGATAGTCTGTGTTTACCTTAGGTACCAATAAAACCACATTAGACAAAATAAAAGTAGCTAAAAGCTAAAGTCGCACAAAATGCAATTACTCCAGTACAATTTTTATATTCTTATGAATAAATTCAGTTTTCTCAAAAAATATGTTGTTCATAATGGCTCATTATTATTA